CTGAATATAGACACTCCCTGCTGGATTGCAGGGAGTGTGGAAACGGGAAAAAAGCTTCACGTGATTCCGGGCGGCCGCAGCGGTACGGAAGCGACGCAAGTCGGCCACATCGCGCACGTTCTAGCTCTCGCTATCTCAACGGACAACAAATTCCTGGTGCGTGTTCTCTTCTGCAGCGATTCGTTTACGTACGCGTCTGCTCGCCATTTTATTCGGTACCCATGACGTACGTACGAGGGTAGGGTGAAATAGCGCGTGAATGCTTGTGCCATCTCTGCATATTGTTTTCATTGGGTATCATCGAGTTTGCCTTGTGTGTGTTTTTTTTGTCCCGATGTATCATTCATCATCCGTAGCAGATCAGTGTTCGATTATTTGCGTTAAGCAGATGCCACTTTTTTTGCTCGGGTTCTTAACGAACGACGAGCTTCGTCACACACCGAGATGTGTTCGGCGAGTTTTCGACGCGTCAGTTTTCGTTTTTGCAGGCGTCCGGGTGCAGAAATCGCACGATACACATCTGGAAGCCCGACACATGCGAGCGCGTGCACACGTTCAGTGGCCACAAGGACGCCGTCTCGGTGAGTCGCTGCAGTCGCCACAATCGCCGCGTCGCCGGCATTACGCGTGCGTAGTGTGCGCTACGAGTACTGCGTGTGAAGGGGGAGGCCAGGGCGGACCATCTCTGTGTGTGTGACACAGATCTATACTATTGGTTTACCCCCTGTGGGTGGTTCGATCAGTTTATCGCTTGACGCCGTCGAGCTATAGAGTTAGCTGTGAACATGTGTTATATGTATGTATAATATAATACACACATGCACACGAACTGCATGCACGCATGCACACGCGCAGGCACACACACGCAGAAAGCAAATACTTTTGATTTTTACTTTCTTTAACTAACTGCTGCTGCTGGGTGCATTCTCTAGGGCCTCGTCTTCAGAAAGGGAACGCACGACCTGTACAGTGCCTCGTTCGACCGCTCTGTGAAGATCTGGAACTTGGACGAGATGGCCTACGTCGAGACACTGTGAGTCACCGTCGCGGCGTGGGGGGGGGGGATCTCCACCGTATGACCATTCTTTATTCTTCTGCTATACCCGCCGCTACTACGCATGTACTTTATCAGGATTCGTAGCGGGTCTTCCAAAGTCTTATAAGTACTTATTTTGCCAAAAATAAAATAAGGGCCCTTATTAGTACTTATTTTTGGTGAAATCTTAGAAAAGTACTTAATAGTCCTTATTTTTTGCCAAAGGACCAATTGTTTTATAAACTGTTCTCGACTTAGAGTAAGAATTGTTGTATATATATAATACGGAATAATTAAATCTGCTGTGCAATTGTGTATATAAATATTTAATTATTAGTGTACTTTAATAGTCACGTAAAAAAGTCTTATTTTGGCCTTCAGAAAGGGTCTTATAAGTCCTTATTTCAACATATGTCTTACTACTATGAACCCTGTTTATGTACATCTATGTTATCTACCTGCTTCATGTACTTTCTTTCTGTTCGTACTACTACTCCACCCGCCGCTGAGCCGCAAATGATGAGGTTTGAACGAGCGAATGCTCACTGTGGGGCAGTCACGGGCGTTAGCTCGAGTGATAAACAACCCATGCGGGGGCGGTGAACGCGGAACGAACGATGCCGGAAGATTGGTGTTCCCCGCGTGCAGGGTTTGTCTCGCGTCTCGCCGTCTCGTCTCTCGTCTCACCATCTCATCTCGCGTCCTCAGGTTCGGCCACCAGGACCACGTGACCGGCATCGACGCGCTGTCGCGCGAGCGCGTGCTGACCTCTGGCGGCCGCGACGGCAGCGTGCGCGTGTGGAAGGTCGTTGAGGAATCGCAGCTCGTTTTCCACGGCCACAGGTACGACGGACGTCTCCGCTCGTGCGAGTTCCCGTGTTGTTCGCGAATGCAAGCGTTGTACACAAGTGCCCGCATTGTTCACCAGTGTACCTATTGTACACGAGTGCCGGCATTGTTCGTGAATCTTTGTCTCGGCCCCCGATCGACGAGGAATAGACATAAATATTGCGAGCCGAAACAGAGCGATAAAAAAATACCTTGACGTGAAAGAACACGTGATGGTAAAACTCGGTGAAATCCGCTCTCGCACCGTTCTCCGTGTTCCCGAGGATCGGCGCAATCGGCGGGTAGCTGAATACTTTACCGCTTACGCCACAGTTCTAGTACCTAGCAAGTCGAGCTTCATTTTCTTCTGCTGATATTTTGCTTCTGACTTGCAATGTTCTCGTCACTTTTTCAGCGGGTCCATCGACTGTGTGCAACTCATTAACGAGGAACACTTCATATCCGGATCCGACGACGGGTGAGACATTTGATGAGTGCTGCCCTCTGTTGGCCGTAATAGCCTGCTCCTTTGCGACATTCACCCGTGTAAACAACCATCACTTCCTACCCTTTATCGGTCTGTTATTTGCCTGGTGCTGAACATGTTAGAACGTTGGTTAGTCGTTGACGAGAAGTGTGAACCGACCGAGTGAAACTGCAAAAAGCTATGCCATACATTTCATTGACGGTCTCTCCGCGATGAGCTGCGCCACGCACCTGACGTCTCGCCTGCGGTTTCTTGCCAGGTCCGTCGCGCTGTGGAGCGTGATGAAGAAAAAGCCGAGCTGCCTGGTGAAGCGCGCGCACAGTCGCTCCGACGACGACGCCGACAACAACAACGCCGAGAGCACGGAGGAAGCGAAGTGGATCGGCGCAGTGGCAGCACTGCACAGCACTGATCTCGTGGCGTCGGGTGAGTCGCTCTGCGTAAGAGGGAGGTCGCGCAAATCAAGGAGCTAAATATAACAAGGAGAGGAAGCGTCTTATCAATTCTAATAATTACTCGCTGACACGTAAATACATGCTCAGTGATAGCGCACATATAATAAATCGAGGCGTGGACGTACAGAGAAGCGATAAGAATCATAAAAAGTTAGATAATTTTACGTTTAATAGCAGCGCACGTCATGCCGAACAATATTCTATTGCGTCGGCTTGTGACCCTCTCGCCAACGTAGTGTTAAGCGAGAAGGAAACTTGTGGCTAAACGGGAGCTAGACCCGAAAACGTGTTGGATCGTAAGTGCATTATATGTGAACAACTGAAATTATCATGAACACACAGCATACGAGTAGAGCCAACTCAAGCCGGAAGTCGGTCCTATGGCTAGTAGCAGTATCAGAGATGACAAGTTTCTTATCTTAGGATTGGATCATTGTTTGTTGTTGTTGACATTGGCATGCCATTACTCACCTCCACACCTCACCGCACAACTGTGGTTGTTGCCTTCCGCACTACGGTTGACTTGTGGAATCAGCAGCGTCGAGTGAAAGCGAGCCCGCGTAGAAAGTAGAACAGCAACCATCCACGGATAGTAGGGTATTTGGTAGATCCAACATAGATGGGTCTAGTGGCATTACTTGAATGAAAGAAAACAGTAGTAAATAGAAACCAAAGAAACACTGCCTGTTTAACTAACTGACAGTGACCGTTAGGAACGTGACGACAGAAAACATTACAATTTTTACAATTTATATACATTACAGAATACCAACACTCCTGAATAATACCGGCATCGCATTCTCAAACGCTCCACAATTAAATTATGGACACGATGCCTTCATTATTATGATCACTTACTGCTGCAGGGTGCTGCCATGCTGTTAGAAATGACCAGCTTTTTTCTCGCTAGATGGCGCGCAATTGTATTTATTTTTAAGACCATCCTTACATCCTTACTAAGCACATGTATGTTAGTTGTCTCGGCGTGTAACTATATTGTATATTTACTTACTGTTTGCACGGTTATATATTTGTATGCTAAGTAATCATGTCGTTTTTCATAAGAGGAAAAGACAACGGTACAGTGCCTGCGAAAAAGGTAAGAGTGGTCGTAGTCATAGCACAGTTATACAACTAATAGTAATATAGTGATTTGTGTATGTCGGGTGACGCGCTGTGACGTGAGTGACCACCCTGCAGTGACTCGCCCAGAATTATTTTACAGTGTTTATATTATAATATTTTGATTAACAAGTCTCCAGCACTGCCTGTTGTTGTGGACCACCCGATCAAGTTGAAAAAAAACAGCTCACAGATTTCATTGCATTCGACTATGTGTATGAGTAGAGTATGACTTGGCTAAAAATATACTTTACAGACTACAGTTTACTAAATCTACTCAAAATATTGTCTTGAGACTGAGCAACCATAATTTTATCGAGCATTTATTACAATGTTTGTAATATCCACCTGCATTGCTTTCTTCTAAAACCAGGGTGCACCTGCAAAGAGAAAGCGACCTGGGGTGGCAGCACGGGTCAATAACTCGACTAGCAAGCAGAGGAAGACGAAGGGAAGCAAAGTGGAGATTTCCAGCGACAGTGAAATAGAAAGGTCTGGAGTGTGATCGGCATCTCAAAATGTTTTAACAAGTTAACATCGACCCTGATGGCAAACTACAGTAATACCTTGCATTATAGAAGTAATGCATTCCACAGAAAACGTTTGCAATGTAACTTGTGTTATATAATTAGAGGGTGCATTCCTACGGAAACATTTTCGACCAAAAGAAATATGTAATCCCCTAGTCTCTTATAATGCAAGTACAATTATAAATGCAACTTTGCAAGTAAACATTTTCAAGCACGTATAAAAATTAGTTACAACAAATATCATGTAGCACAGTAACAAGATAATAGTGGAAAGGAAAGTGGAGTTCGGAATAAAAATTTCTACCAATTAAGTTAGGTTACACTAAACTGAAGTTGAAAATCTATGTGATTTACATTGCAGCGATGTAGAAAGTAGACCAGTCGCACAACAAGGGAAGGAATCCGGAGAGGAGGAGGAAGAGGAAACTGCACAAGAGAAAAGACTCAGACTAACGAAACTCTATCTTCAGCAACTGGAAGAGGAGGGTAAACAATATTAACAAATACCTTCGAATGTAGAGAGAGGTAGAGAGGGATGGAAGGGGGGAGCTGGAAAGAGAGAGACAGAGACAGAGAGAGAGCGAAAGGAATAGAAAGAGGCATAAGCAGCTGGTGTGATGAAGAGAAGAATAAGAAACTGGATGAGTTTTGAGTTGCAAGGATTGGTGTGGGTGAAGAGAGAGAAAGAGGATGGTTACACTGACAAAGAAACATGAATCCATGCAAGTGTGAGAGAGAGACATGACAGAAGATTAATGTTAAGCCTTGATATCAAGAAATATTCTTAATTAGGCTCGTTGATTTTTCAGAAGCTGATAAGTTGGACCTAGATGAGGGAAAGAAAGAAGCTGTCTCTCTTCGGCTTAAGGAAGATGTTGTATGTCAAATTACGTGTAACATTGAAAATGCACCATCATGAATATTTCTTGCTATTAGTTTCCATTAGTATTATATTAATATAATTATATTATATATAATGCTCTAGTTCCAATTCTACAACAGCTTAGACAAGATGCCTTAATGCTCCGTTGTCATAGGTACATGGGATGCGTTCATGTCTTTGTTTTATGTCATGATTTCCTTATGATATGATGTTGCATGTTTTATAATTCATGCTTTTAGGAACTACTGTGTGAGGAGCTTGTTTCCTGTCTATATTTTGGCTTCAGGTATATGAAACTCTACTCTGGTGGAGACCGACTTATTATATGTGGTATAATATCAAAGATCGAAATCATGGTAGATAATGACATGTGACTTCTCTGACTGAATAGTTATCTAACACATTTGTCGAGTTTGCTGCATAACATGGATTTTTCGTTGATTTTCTGAGGTGCGGGATTGTCTTGCTATGTGTTTCTTTTAGCCTAGAACAGCTGGAATCCAACGAAGCGTCGCCGAGATTACGGGCCTCTGGAGGGAGACATCGATTCTGGCGGAAAGTTGCATCACGGTTCGTATTCTCGCGAACTTATCGTTCACAGGTCAAAGACTGTTAGTCATTAATGTAAGCATGCACATCATCACTGCCTTGGGTTGCTTGAGGACTGTATTGCGACATTGTGTTCATGGTGGACTTTTAATGAGGCTGCATGGCCTCGTTTATACGAATACAATGTAATGTTATATGGGAAACGTTAGGTTGGTTCAAGTTAGTTGAATTTCTGCATGTAGGTGGCACGTGTTGCCGTGATAATGTGGTGTATGTTGTGGATTACGGGAGGTGTGGACGGAAAGAAGCTGCACGTGATTCCGGGCGGCCGCAGCGGTACGGAGCGACGCACGTCGGCACACCTGCGCAAGTTCTAGCTCTCGCTATCTGAAGGATCAACAATTCTGGTGCGTGTTTTCTTCTGCGCGTTGTTTACGTACGGTTCTGTCGCTTTTTTCGGTCTCAGGGTCGATTAGCGGTTCCGATATACGCGGATAGTAGATTCTTGTTGTTTGGATACAGATTTCAATGCTTGGTATCCCGCGGCATAGTAAAAAAAATTTTCAACGGGATAGTGGTTGGTTGAGATATTTGCAGCTTAGCGGAATGTAATTTGTTAGATTGTATCAAGCGACGACATGGTCTGCAATCGTCTGCGTGTATTGTATGTGCATATCTGTGAATCTGTTTTCTGTTTTAAGCTTCTGACTAGGTCAGATGCGCTTGTAGAATCGCTATGTCGTCCGTGGCGTCCGTCGTTGGTCTCGTCGTGCGTCAGCAGTGTGGGCACAATCTTAACGCGCTCGACGTGACCGGTCACGTTTCGGCCACATCGGGGGGATCGTCAAAACGGTTGCGCGATGTCGAAGCTGGGGTCAAAGGTCAAAGGTAAGAGGTGTACAAGAAGGAGGAACATTCAACTCCTTAACTAGGTATAAGGAGGAATGCGAATTGCGGCACAGAATCTTAAACGGCTCGCTAGCGCTCGTGATGTAGTCGGAGTGTATAGCATTGGTAGCGAAAGCCGATCACGGTGCCGAAATTGGAGGTCACAGGTCGAAAGGTCAGTGGGCACACGGGCAGATTTTAGACATTTTCGTGCAGGACATGGTCTGACGGAGCGATTGAAAACTTTTTGTTTCACGGTGACTAGCATTTTTATGGCTTTATTGGAAAGGACCTGAATGTCCCTTCTGCTGACATGCGCGACGAGTAAGTGTCGGATAACCTTTGACCCTCAACGACGGAGGCGTAAACATGGATTTGTTCACTGATCAACAAGGCCGAACTGCTTTGCCTAGGTGAATCCCCTCCCCCACCCTCCCTTCCTTCCCTCCCACCCCTCCCCACCTTCCCCACCTCTCCCCCCCCTCCCCTACCCTCATCTGCTGATAGTGGGCGTGTCCTAACTGATGTGTACGCAACTGCGTGTCTGCTATCTGCGACTAACAAGGATGTGGTACTACGCACGACCTGAAATTTTAGTTCTATATCGTAGCCAAAGACTCAGATGATGCCAGACGTCTGCGGCTCTGTTATATAATAATTACTTACATATTAATAATTTTCAATGCTATTTTAATATTTCAAGGTTTTTTGGATTGCCAACATTGTTGAAACAAATTATTAATATTAAAAATATCTAAAAAATTTTGATCAGATATCTTTGGGCGGGGGATACCAGATTTTCATACCTTGGTATCCGATGGATACCATAATAAAAATCGAATTTCGACCCCTGCCATTGGTAGGGTGGCAATAGCGCGTGAATGCTTGTCCATCTCTGCTATTGTTTTCAGTTGGGGATCATCGCGTTTGCCTTGTGTGTGTTTTTTTTGCCGATGTTCATTTCATTCATCCGTAGCAGAATCAGAGGAATGAAATGATATTTCTCTTGATTCGATTATTTGCGTTAAAGATGCCACTTTTTTTTGCTCGGCGTTGCTAACGAACAGAGCTTCGTCACACACCGAGGATGTGGGTTCGGCGGTATTCGACGCGTCGTTTTTGCGTTTTTGCAGGGTCGTCGGTGCGAAATCGCCGATCACATCTGGAGGCCGACACATGCGAGGCGTGCCTACGTTTCGTGGCGCACAAGGCGCCGTCTCGTGTAGTCGCGTGCGTCGCACATCGTTGCGTCGCCGGTTACGCGTGGTAGTGGTCGTACGAGTGCTGCGTGTGAAGGGAGCGCCAGCGCGGACATCTCTGTGTGTTGTGTGACAAGATCTTTATGGGGTTTACACCCCTGTGCGTGTGGTCTCGGTCAGTTTATCGTGACACCGTCGAGCTATAGAGTTAGCTGTGACAAATGTGTGATATGTATGGCTATTAATAATAACACTCTCACATTCACATCGCGCACGTAGCACGCACAGCACGACGCAACCACCACACACACACACACAGCACACACACACCGCAGAGAGCATACTTTACTTTCTTTCACTAACTGCCTGCTGCTGGGTGATTTCTCTAGCGGCTCGGTCTTCAGAAAGGAACGCACGACTGTACGTGTCCTCGTTCAGACGCTCTGTGATATCTGGACTTGGACGAGAATGGCCTACGGTCGAAGCACTGTGATCCTGTTGCGGGCCGTGGAGGGGGGGGATCTTCCACCGTATGACATTCTTCTTTCTGCTGCTTATACCCGCCTGCTTAGTATGCCATTGTACTTTATGGTAGCTCTATCAGGGTTCTGTCTTGACTTTTTTAGTGCGGGCCGGATCCAGTTGGAGCAAGCAGCGTGGCGCGAAGCCTCTAGGGGGGTCCGGGGGCACATGCTCCCCCTGAATTTGTTTATTTTTGAAGTATGAAAAAAAACTCTGAAACTCATTTCCTGATTTTGAGTATAAAAAGGCCATATATTATAGACTTATTTTTTATTTTTTTTTACATCAAAAATAGTGGCGGGCGGAGATATATGTGCGGGCGGCAACCGCGAGTGCCAGTACACCGCCCCGCGCCCCGTTGGGCAGACCCTGATCTATGTTATCTATTGGCTGTCATGTTCTTCATTCTTCTGGTGTACTACTACTCACCCGCCGCCTGAGCCGCAATGAAGAGGTTGATCGGCGAATGCTCACTTGTGGGTCAGTCACGGATCGCGTTAGCTCGATGATGACAACCTGCGGGAGGCGTTGTGAACGCGGAACGAACGATGACGGAGATTGGTCTTCCCGCGTGCAGGGTTTGTCTCGGCTTTCTCGTCTTCACCACTTCATCTCGCGTCCTCAGGTTCGGCCACCAGGACACGTGACCGGCATCGCGCGCTGTCGCGCGAGGCGTGCTGACCTTGGCGCCGCACGCGCGGCGCCCGCGGCGGCTGTGTGGAAGGTCGTTGGGAATCGGAGCTGTCTTTCCGGCCACAAGGTACGCGGACGTCTGGCGTCGTGCGAGTTCCGCGTTGTTCGCGAAGAAGCTTTGTTCCAAGTGCCCGCACTGCTTCCCAGGCTACTATTTGTACACGAGTGCACGCATGTGTTCGTGAATCTTGTTCTGCGGCCCCTAGATCGACGAGAAATAGACATAAATATTTGCAAGCCGAAACAGAGCGATTATAAAAATAGCCTGGCGTGAAGAAACGTGACGGTAAAACCCCGTGTGCAATCCGCTCAGCACCATTCTCCGTGTTCCGAGATCGGCGCATCGCCGGGTAGCTGAATACTTTTACGCTTCGCTGAGTCGTATAGTACGCCTAGCAGTCCGAGCTTCATTTTTTTCTGCTGGTATTTTGCTTCTGATTGCAATTTTCTCGTCACTTTTTTCAGCGGGTCCATCGACTGTGTGCAATCATTAACGAAGAACACTTCATATCGGATCGACGACGGGTGAGACATTTGATGAGTGCTGCCATCTGTTGGCGTATAGCTGCTCCTTTGCGCGTTCACTCGTGTTAACAACCATCATTCCTACCTTTATCGGTCTGTTATTTGCCTGGTGCTGACATGTTACAACGTTGGTTAGTTCGTTGCGGAAGTGTTGTGAACCGACGAGTGAGCTGCGAAAGCTGTGCATACGATTTCATTGACGGTCTGCCGCGATGAGCTGGCGCCCGCCCTGACGTGCTCGGCTGCGGTTTCTCGGCAGGTTCCGTCGCGCTGTGGAGCGTGATGAAGAAAAACACGAGCTGCCTGTGAAGTCTGCGCACGTACGGTCGACGACGACGCGAGAGACGCGAGGAAGCGAGTGTCGCGCAGTGCGCCACTGCCAGCCGTCTCGGGGGTCGGCGTGAGTCGCTTCTGTGTAAGCAGGGAGGTCGGAAATCAAGGAGCTAAATATAACAAGGAGAGAAGCGCGGATGGCGTGTTGCATTTTCACTCACAGAGGCGCCTCTATGGCCTATCAGCTGAAACGGCACTGTGCAGGCCGAACCAGAGACAAATAGAACACAATCTGTTCTAGGGTCTCTGCGACCCAAATTTGGCCAGGATATCGCGGCGGCTTCTTCTCCTTGTTATATTTAGCTCCTTGGCGCAAATAACTGGCAGCAAACCCATGCGAGCCGTCGCCAGAAACGTCGCGAGTAGATGCGACGTGTTCGCGAGTCTGAAATGTCTTGACTTTCGACGTGAAGTGTCGCACGAAACTTCTGCAGTTTTAGGCGGTACGATGGTCATGTCTATTTATGTTGCTGACAACCCGCCCACCCTCGAATGTTACACGGAGGTCCGACGAGATTAGGCAATGATGGTCGAAAACAGTAAAAAAACCTACGGTACTCACCCTTGATTCAGGCAGTTTAATTGGGGATGAGTTGCATTTCTAATAAGGCCAATATAAGGGCAGATTTTAATAGTAGTCATCATACAGTTATAGTTGTAGTCATGTGCGCTGCGAACTTATTTACATACATGGTGCTGTTGCTGGAATTTTCATGTGGTTGAGCTCGTGTGAATGTTTACGCATACTTTATATTCACACTGTGTGGTGGAGTGATGATGTAGCTGTGCTGCAGTTATTCGGTTCTTTGGCTAATTGTCATGTGTCTCTCCTCGACAGGTTCCTGTGATGGTTATGTGAGACTATGGCAGTGCAGTGAAGGGTACCGATCGTTGAAGCTGCTCCACAAGATACCCGTGGTAAATTCTAGCATCTTCTCTGTGTGTTTTCCGTTTTGTCCTAGTCCTTCCTTTCTGTCGCCCGTCAGCGTCTTCTCAGTTTTGCGCTGTTTCCAGTGGAATCGTCTATTCGTCAATATTTTCGTTACTATTTCCGACATGATCTCTATTTGTTCCGGTTGCCAACGTGATTTTCTCAACAGTTTGTGTTGCGAACATAGTCGTGATAGACATTGTTTTGCTCTATAAAACAATCTAGACATGGTGTCACTCCCTGCAACAACAGATTATGCTGTCTGAAACAGGTTGGGCATTGCATAGCTCCCTGAAATTGTGCAGACATCGTTTTGCTCGCGGCGGCATGCAATATGTCTCTGAGACAGATAATCGATGTTAATGAACACTTAGACGTGAGAGAGACTCGTTTCTTGTCCAAGTGTTGGGTGAACCGTGCCACTTCCAGTGACGATGGAGACATCATGTTAGTAATCGGACGACATGAGTAAGGCGCGTCAGTTCCCGAGTTGTTCGAGACATCGTGTTATCCTGACGGGGGGTGTTGTTCTTCCAGGTTGGATTCGTGAACGCTCTCCGGTTTGCCTCCAGCGGGGACTTCATCGTCGCCGGCGTCGGTCAGGAACATCGACTCGGACGCTGGTGGCGCCGCCGCGACGCGCGGAATTCCGTCTGCATCGTCCCGCTGAAGAGAACGTCAACAAAGCAGGCGTAGAGAGTCGGGACGTGTGCCTGTGGGCTGCCCCCTGGCTTGCGGGATGGTGGTGGTGCAGCCGAGATCATGGGAACGCGGGAACGAGATAGTCGTACATGCCAGAGATACATAAAGAGATATGTAAAGAGACAGCGAAGTGTTATTGGGACTACATACTGCCTAAGGTGCCATTCTTCGTTAGTGACACGACAAGGGAAAGTTAAACGTGAAGAACAGCACGTTCTACGTATGATTGCAAGCAGTATGTAAAGTGAAAAGGGTGTGGGGAATTGGATTATAGCGAGGCAGGCTGTCACTGAAAGATGAACTTGTATGAGGTGACGAATTTCATTGTCCGTACATTTGTTATCATGAGCGAGTAAATTCTATTTGTTCTGAGTAAGTTGCTATTGTTTCTTTTTGTCTTTTTGTGTGTACGCGTGTGTGAATATAGCTACATTTACGATACCTGGTAATGATTAGTGAGGCCTGTTTCAATTCATACCCACCTCTCACTCCTGCTATTAACTACACAACCTACTCAAGGCTTATAGCGATCGGGAATTGCATACGTTTGCAACATTTTGGCCGCACCTCCATTATTGTTGACATATTCTAACTGCAGCTCAACAACTTGTAACATACAGCTGACTATCTAGCGATTCACACTGTAAGGATTCAGATTCCAGATTCTGCAAGATGCAATATACACACACCACAATGACATGTCTTAGAGATATTTACTAACAATACACACGCGCGCACACATGCGATACATGTGACGAATAACGACTCAAAAGCCGCTTTGGTCTGCTACTACATTACCTTCATCTTTGCAAGAAAAAACATTTTATTTTAAAAGAATATAGAGTACCCTGAGTTTAATAAACTATATAAATTATACTGATAACATTTAGTATATTAAATATAGTAATTCTATTCATCAGAGTCAATGTAAAACACAGCCAACGTTAAAATAAAAACTGTTCTATAATAAATTGAGACGTTGGTCAGCACAAATGACGTCGTGCCTGCTGCAAAAGTTAGCACACGTGAACAAAATACAGACACATACAGCATATATATATATATATATATATATATTGCCCTTAAATTAGACCTGTGGCAGTCAAACAGATATTAATTCTATCTATTGTAATGTAGGTCTTATATTTCAAGAATATATCTTTTTCTAGACTTCAAGTCTGATGCCGCTGGTTGTTCACTGGTTGTCAATTCCATGTGGACTCTGGGTAATTTGCATGTAGTATATTTATAATTTATTTATTTTTCATAATGCTCATATATATTTTGTATTATCCAATCGTATTGTCATTCATGGTTTAACGTTAAGTAACTAACTGTAGTAGCCCTCCCTCGCTGTATTTATTTAAAAAATTGTTGTGATATATGTAACAATGTAATATACTTGAAAGCGTAAATAAATTTCAAAAATCTAAAAAAATAAAAATAAAAATGTAGTCAATAGAGGGCCATTGTGGGGTCAGCTAAGTTCACTGCACTGCGGTATATACAGATGTTATATACAGTATATACGGTAGATACTAACGTTAATGATTACCGCTCCTGCTCGTAACGGCCGCTAGGGCCTACTCACTAGAAAGTGTAGTCAGTGTAGCGAACGCAGTCAAGCGTAACATGACGACTGGTATTATACAGGTTAGGTATATACAGACGTTAATGCGATTCACTTAGGAAACGAGATTATCCATTTACATGCCATTAATTGTCTTGTCATTCTTGATATCTGTGATAACATCAGGAGTAAGATAATATATCATGAGATAACATGTCATATAAACCCATGCATGTCATGCGCGCATGCTCAGTCGATATTTTTCAATGGGCAACTAATGTACGGGGATACAATTTTTCTGTGACACTGGACCTCGGCGCACACTTTCATATGTTTCCAAACATAGTTGTAATATGTGTGTTTGCTGTTTTTGTTAGTTGTTGTAGCAATGCTATATTCCTGGAGCTACTCATTAAGTAAGAATAGTGTCCAACTCAACTCACGTGTGATTCTTCTTATTGTGAATGAATACTTCATTGTCACAACCTGAACCACGCCTTGGAGTGGGACTGCATGTGTCTGTGTACAGTACACAACAGTCAACATGATATCATATAGCCTCTACTCTCTAGCCTAGGGCCCTAGGCTTGAGGGAATGATGCCATATCATATGGTTGGAAGGGGGTTCTGCAATACTTGGCCGTTTCTTGGCGCTACACGAGGATGTACTGGCGCTCATAGGGTCTATGTCCCCCAGGGTACTATCGGA